ATGGGGGCTATTTTTGTGGGGATTTTTGGATTAGGACGAAAAACAACAAAATCAAGCTAGAAAACAAGCGTGTGGAGGCTCCAAATCCGTGATCAAAGTGGCTCATGATACCAAGATAATGTAGGGTAGAACTCTAACGGCCCGATCTTTCACGTTTGGAGGGGATTCCACGAATAACACGAGGGGAAACACGAGGGGAAACACGAGAGGAATCACTCAACCAACAAGATTCGATTACACATGCGCTAGATCCTTGAAACACAAAGAGATACATGATCCACGGTCAACGAAAGACGATACAAGTAGCACGATCTTCTCCGTGAGGAGGTCTTGAGGTTCTTCCCGTGATGGGGTCTTGAATCCGCTTGGGGGATCTTCTCCGAGGAGGCGCAATCTCCGAGGAGAAGGTAACCAAGTGGATGAGCAAAGCTCTCACACAAAAATGAGCTAATCCTTTGCTAACCCTAGAAAAGAGGAGGTGGAGTCGTTTATATAGGAGTTGGGGCCGAAGGGGTACATGGGCCTCGGCCCAACATCATGCATGCAGGCACTGTCCGGATGATCCGGGTGTTGGTCCGGATGATCCGGGCTTCGGGGGTCCGGATGATCCGGGTCGGCGTCCGGATCGTCCGGCTGTGTCGGGGCTGCTGCGGGAGGGCCGGATGTCCGGGTCCTGGTCCGGACGTCCGGGTGTGTCCAGATGATCCGGCTTCGTGGTGAAGCTTCGGGTGTCCTCGGGCGGATTAGACAGATCGTCCGGGCCGTGGTCCGGATCGTCCGGGCTGGGGCTGGATCGTCTGGGCTTCTGCTGATTTTGCCCTTCTTCTTCTCTGTCATCACGTCCATCTTCTCCTTCCGATCCACCCTGCTCCTTAGCCTCTCCATGGCTATCTCTCAGGTACCTGAGTATGCAAAGTGTCTCTGTTTGAGGTAGTAACCATGTCTCATGTGCATCGAAGTGGAATTGTGAGAGGAGAGATGTCACCTCGGTTTCGAGTGCTCTTGCACGTGCTCGTATCATGGGTCCACTAGGCACTTGGTGAGACGATGGTAGGTCCATGGGGATGACCTTGGGATGCTCCGCATCAGATACTATTAAAATTTATGTATGTATGAGGTCTTGTAACTCTGTAGCACATGAACTTGCGGCGCGTGGCGCTCTGCTAGGGGATGGCAACCATGCTGTATGGGTTGGCCATCTTCCTCATTTTGTACTCAACTTGTGTGCTGGCGATGTGTCCAGCGCCTAAGTTTAATGGAATGCCTTCAATAGTGTTTCTTTCAGAAAAAATATATATTATTTGAATGGATCACGGAAACAAATTTATGTTAGGTCAAAAGCAATTTAATTTAAGTTGCCTTATCGACATGCTCTAGCAACCTCAACCCATGGGCTCGCCATTGTCGCACCTGGAATACATTACGACTGTTTATCAATTTTGAATCCAACTTGGCTCTAGTTTGCTTTCTACACACAATAGTAAAGCTTTTTTTTTTTGCGGGATCACAAAGTAAAGCTTCGGTCACACGAAAACGCATGTTCGCCAAACCTGTATGGTCCCTACAAACATGAAGTTTTTGTTACAACTAAACATGCTTCTGAGATTTAGTGCATTGTGCTTCGTATACAGTAGAATAAAGCTTCTTTCCCGCAGGAAAAAAATGCTTCTAACACACTGTAATAACTTATGCTTTCAACAATGTTAGTGCATTCTGCTTCAACCATTTAAATTTAATTTCTGTGTATACATTCAAGCAAATTCCGTTCACCACGGAATCAAAATCTACTGTTGATATGCAAGCACGGTTTGATGCGTTGAAACGAAACTATTTGGATATGATTTCCTTCTGAATTGAAGCAAATCTCAGTTGCGATGGAAGCAAATTTGAATAGCATCGGAAATAAAATTTGCTTCCCATGAAAACAAAACTGCACGCATGAAGTTTTGATACAGTTATGACCTTGATGAATGTTTAGGGCCAAAATGTGTTTAGCACGCACAACACTATATATAATTATTGTGGTAATTATTAGTATCCAATTGTAGTCGTCCTGTTATTATTACTATCCAAATAGTCATTGTCCTGTAATTATTACTATCCGTAATTATAATTTGGCGACTAATACTAACCTAAACAAATGCTGACTTCCACCGGCTAGCACCCCTCCGTCGCCTATCACCCGTCGATCCGCCGCCACTGCCATGCATAAGTTGCTGCCGATGTATGATTTTTTTCTGAGAAACTTCCAACTTATTCATCTTCAATCATGACAGTACAACGAACACCAGAAATAAAAAGAATCATATCCTGATTCGTAGACCACCTAGCGGTGACTAGAAGCATTGAAGCGAGCCGAAGGCCTGCAGCCGTCATTGCGCCTTCCTTGCCGGAGCCGGGCACAATTTGTTGTAGTAGACAGTCGGGAAGTTGTCATGCTAAGGACACATAGGACCAACGCACCAGAAGAACAACCGCCGCCGATCGATGAACAGAAGTTTAGATCGGAAGGATCCAACCTGACGACACAAGAACAAAGACGAACAAAGACCGGATCCGAGTAGATCCAGCAAAAACAACCACCGGCCGTATCTCGCGAGATCTGCCGGAGACACACCTCCACACGCCCTCCAACAATGCTAGACGGACCATCGAAACGGGCTAGGCGGGGATAACTTTATTCCATCTTTAAGAAGCCGCCGCGGTCTCGTATTCCTGAGCAGGACACAAACTCTAACAAAACTTGAAAAACATCTAAAAACAAAGCCCTCCCGCCGGCAAGGACCGGGATCCACCGCACACCCATTGCCCTATGTCCGCAGGAGACGTGGCAGATCGGAGACGTTGTCGACGGGAGACAGAAACCCTAGCCGTTTTTCCTTGGAGGAGAGACGTAGGGACAAAGACAACAGATTTGTTAGTAGCTTTCTAAAAGAGGTAATTACACCAGTGGTGCTCGAACTTGCCACCAATGTTCACTTTAGTGCCTGAACTTGAAAAATACATCGAACTGGTTCTAAAACTTGACACGAACATGCAAATACGATGCTAATCTCATCCGTAGACGTAAAATGCATTGACTTGGCATCATTTATGGTTGATGTGGCATCGACATGGCATGGGGCACACTTGTAACGAGGAAATGAGATTAATTTAGAATATGTATGGCTCAATGACTAGTGGGTCCCACCTGCCAGTATCGGAAATTAAAATGAAAATTGGTGCGAAAGAACCTCGAACCGGCCACCTGACACTAGTGTGCAACTCAACGGACCAACACGCCAACTAAATTCTATAGAATACTGGTGTGTCTCCTGGTATTTTATGTAGTGTAAATACAAACGCTTACCTAAATATGCCCCAGTCATTGCGCCCATTTAGCACATCTCCTGATATAATCCTTGTGTGTATACTTGTTTTTGTAATCATTAATTTTTTAAGTATAATCAATGAGTGTATAATTTAATTTTTTGTTATTTACCAAACATTTTTAAACACTCGTGTATTATATTAAAATAGTAGTTTCTAAATAATAAGTGAATATTTCTCAAAAGTACATGAACATTTAAGTAAGTTTTGATTGCATATCTCTACATATTTATTTTGTCCACACATGGATATTTGTGTATCGCAATTATTTATAATCCATAGCGTGGCATTGGTCCTTGTTTATGGGCTACTTTTAAAATACTACGTGCATATGTATATTTGTATATCAGGATGTAATTATCAATTAAATATGAATACTAGGATCTAACTTTTATTTATGATTAGAATTTACAGATTTTTTACAATTTTTAAGAAAAAATAACATCTGCAAATTGGGCCGCAGTTATTGCAACCCATTTAAGTACCACAAACATTTTCACTTGCTCGGTCCGGACGATTTCGGGAGGTTTTGCAAGTCGGCCTTGGAGAAGCCCTTAGAAGGCAGTTGGCCTGATGGTTTGCGAACACAGCCAGCTAGTGTGAGGTGTCTGCTTCG